GGTATGTGTTCACATATGTGTGTGTGTATAGTATATGTGTGATGTTGAATCACTGTGCTCTACACGTTATACAACACGTTATATATTTGCATGTTTATTTGTATGTACACACACACAAACACACACACAATCACACACGCACAAACACACATATATAAATATATAAATAAATAAATATATATATATATATATACATATATATATATATACATATATATATATATATATATATATATATATATGTATGTATACGCCATGTGTGTGAGTGATTATTTAATAAACAATGTATATCTATATTGTATATGATAAATATATCTATATTAAAGTGTGTGTGTGGTGTGTGTGTGTGGTGTGTGTGTGGTGTGTATGTTGTTTGCAACAAGCATTCACCACGTTTTTATGTCTCTGGTGAAATTGCACTTTGCGAGCATGGTATCGGCATTAAACCTACAACAACATGCAATACAACATAACGTAACGTAACATAAATTTTGAAAATACAATGCTTATCAGATCGTTGTCAGAATATTAAAAAAGTATAATCATTAATGTACAATATTCACACGTGTGTTTGTAAGTATTATTAAGCAGGTGAACTGTACATATATTAAAAGAAGTTTTTGAATAAGTGTTTGCGTGTCTATGTGAGCGTATATCTATCTATGTATGTATGTATGTATGTTCTTACCTAAGTGTCTATGTATCTAGCTAAGTGTCTATGTATCTAGCTAAGTGAAGTGTCTGTGTAGCTACCAATGACTGTATGTGCGAGTGCAAGGATGAAAACAATAGCCAAATAAGTAACTTAATTTTTTTTATTTAAGTTTATGGGACTTGCACAGAAGTGCATTTTCTGACATTTTCTAAAATACAGTAAGCGTTGAACCTAATTAATAAAATAGAAATATCTTGTTTTATATAGAACTTTTGAGTTATTTCACTAATTATTTCAGTAATTTCGGTCTAAAAATTGCCTGTTGGTAGGGCCAAATGTTTCTGCGCATTATGGGAGAAACGTTTTAGTGTCATTGTTCAGTTAATTGTATTTGCTGTTTTAACAATCGGGCGCTTTCAGAACTGCAGTGCCAGCCTCGATGGCAGTGTTATTGATGCATCTATCTGCCAGTGGATGGGGAAATGTGACATCCCATGTCAGTGCGCGACCCCATAGCCAATGGGGGAGTGTGAAGCCATCAAGTCTGAAATTATTCACCTTCACTAAACCCACAGTGTTGGCTTTCTGAGGCAGTCTCAAAATGAGGCCATTCATGGCAGAATGCCTGGTCAGCCTACCGGAGCCCAGCCTACAGGAAGTTTCACTCATGATGCCGACAAACTCCGATCACTGACGATTTGATCAGAAAATTTGCAAAGGAAATGAAGTTGATGGTTGATCTTTATCAGATTGTACACTAGAATTCTTTTACGAAACAATGGAAAACAAGATAATGTCTCCATGTCAATCGTTTTCATGTGTCCAACAATGTCAGAAGTGTAACTTTGTGCGTGCGTGTGTGTGTGCGTGTGGCGTACACAGATGTGAGTCGCAGGAGTGGGCTCGTGCAGTTCATAAATTTGAGTTCTTTCCCGCCACCTGCAAGACAGCAGGGATTCCTGCTGCGCTACACTTTAAAATAATGATTTCAACATTAACCTACTTCGCATAAATAAAAAGGGATTTCGAATGATTATCAATTATTCACTTTAAAATTTAGACAAGAATTTTTTTATAGCTAGTTTTTTCATCTAATTTATTTATTATCCCTCATCAAAAATATTCCATTGAAAAATAGTTAAGTCGTTCAAGAGCCATGTTATGTTTTGCACTGCCAATACGCGGTGGCTATTCAAATGTAAAATGTGCCGATGCCGAGCAAACAGCATCACACACACACACAAAAACACACATGCATACACACAAATACTCGCACACTCATGTGTGGGTGAGTATACACACACATACAAACACACATACACGCATACTCATACACACACACACGCACATACAAACACACATACACGCATACTCATACACACACACACAGATACTCACACACACACACACACACTTTTACAGGTCGTTCATTCGTGCAAACATTCAAGGATGGATCACGTGATACTGACGTGGTGGCCTCTTGATTGACAAGATGACGTGTTTCCATTGGAACTTGTATTTGCAGCTGTCGACCCGCCATCAACTTGGCGGGTCGACAAGCGGGTCATTTTCTACTGACTCAAAGCTTCTGTTGCAATAAGAAACCACTGCTGCCGTGTGCTTTTGGGTAAATTTGATGGAGGCTAACAAAGTTTGTTCACAAATAAAATTTAACAACTGCATCTCAGAAGGTCTCTCTCTCTGCATCTCCTAACCAAATGAAATGTGAGGCATTGGAATGTATAGACGTGTTTGGTTGTAAATTGGAAAGCTGAACAGTGTGCTAGGGGTCAGTGCATGATATTGGAGTAAATGTTTAACGTCTAAATTATGAATAATAATCTATATTGATCTACAGATATGTGGGAACTTAAAACGGAAAATTAATTATTTAAAAAACCGGAAAAATATAAGAGAAAACATTTCAAGGATAATGTTGCACGCGCACACGCGCACACGCATACCACACACACACACACACACACATACACACTACACACACACACACGCGCGCACACACATTAAGTAACATACCTAGCAACAACGTCGGACGAACATTCAGCGAAACAGCCGCGCGAAAACCTACCAACAGAACAACCGCGACCAACCTGGGACGATCTGCTTCTCATTGAAGGACCAGCTGATGTTGCCTTTCTCTTTGACGGACCTGTGCGACACATTGCACCTCAGCAGGCAGGAACTCCCAAGTTCGTATTGCTCAAAAGAGTCCACATCACTGCCGGGGGGTGTCGGTAGGGCTAGAGTGAGTTCGTTCAACAGGATGTCACCTGCGGTGGTTGTGGTGGTGGTTGTAGTGGTGGTGGCTGTAGTTGGGGAGGTTGTAGTAGTGGTGGTGGTGGTGGTTGCGGTGTTTATTCCTTACGTCACATATCCACCTTACCACATGACGTCATCATCATCATGTGACACTATCTGCACAGAAATCTCACAGGTAAACAGTGCGCGTCATAAAAATTGTGCATGAAAATGTGCAGAGGTTGAGTTTCTACCATCGAAAAAATTGTGAATAAAATGACAATTCATTATTTATAATTTTAAATTTTAATTTATAATCGATCAGACATTACGTTAATAATGTTATTTAAAGACTGATCTGATATATTACAACATGCCTATTTGAAAGCAAACAATTTTTTATTATCATATGTTAATCATCTAAGCAAACACTAGATACATTTTTTAATGCTTGTGCTGAATTCAAATGTCAAGCAAAATAAATATTTTTACGTTAATTTAAATATTGAAGAATGATACAATTTTTACTATTTTATATTTTAAAAACCTTTTGAAATAATAAACATTGCACGACCGGTGATGAATGGTGATTAATATTCATTATAACAATAATCAGCTGCTCCTGATCATGCAGGCGCCTCGGGAGTTTCCATGCAGAGAAAGAGATTTGCTGGGGATCGTTATTTTTCAAACGCATTTTCAAATGCACTTTTCTAACTTAAACAACGATTTTATTTCATCTCATCAGACATGCAAGAACAATTTTCCACACGGAAACATTGAAAAAGTAGTTAAGTTGCAAATGTTTGGTTAAGATCTCCTACGAAGATTTCAGTGTTGTTGAGATCGGGTCAGTGTAAGAGTATTGGCTTGTGTCTACTGAAAGAGGTCTGCATAATGCTGTGACGGTTTAATTCATGATACTTTTTTGGTGCAAAAACTGTATCAGTTCATGAAGTTGTAATGAATTTGTGACATCATGGAGGTCTGCTGTTGGTAGGGTGGCCAGATTATTTGGATTGCATGCTGTTTGTGACTTGGTGGGGTAGTTGGATCAGTTGGTGGCTGGACCAGTTGATGGTTTGAAGCCATAATTGGGTAAGAGGTTCAAAAAGTTGATGGTTCGTGGATGAGTGAAGGCATATCTGCTTGATGATGAGCTGGGCACCTACGTTTTGTTGAGTTAGAAAAATTAAATGTTCATTGAAATATACTGTTGTGATGTTGTTGCAAGGATTTGTGCACGCACTCAACGGCGGCTTTTTCGTCACATCTGGTGGAGATGAAGGGAGTACCTTCAAATTTCTAAAGGTTGTCGGTTCTTTCAAGCGTAGATGCATTTTAATTTCAAACATGAACAAATTTGCGGTGGATTGATTTATTTCTATCGTTACCAAATAACGCATACAATTTTATATCACAAAAATTCCAACAATTTATAAAAAAAATTTCGAAATGATTGCAATTATCTTAACTTTTTTTTTTCCAAACAAAATCCCAAGCAATAAAGCCTCAAACAAGCAACATCACATATGAAGTTGATTTGAATAAATTGAATCTTACTTCGGGCAAGATAAACTCCAGAGCAGACGACGAAACAAACAATGCAAACTTCTCTCATTTCATTAACAAACCATCAAACAAATCCAAATTACGTAAAGAATTTTCAGAACATGGTCTGCCGTGCAACAAAAATAACCACCACACACAACTCCAACAACCACTTATTGATTTTCAGAGCAGCAGAGAAGCGACCAGGCAGGCAGACGTATTTGTATGGACGATGCTCCTTCATTCATATGCTCCGCACTGCACGTTGTTTATATGTATGTGTGTATATGTGTGCGTGGATGTGTTTATATGTGTGTGTATGTGTTTATATGTGTGTGTATGTGTTTATATGTGTGTGTATGTGTGTGTATATGTACGTGTGTGTATGTGTTTATATGTGTGTGTGTTTGTATGTGTATGTATGTGTTCATATATGTGTGTGTGTATTGTATATGTGTGATGTTGAATCACTGTGCTCTACACGTTATACAACACGTTATATATTTGCATGTTTATTTGTATGTACACACACACAAACACACACACAATCACACACGCACAAACACACATATATAAATATATAAATAAATAAATATATATATATATATATACATATATATATATATACATATATATATATATATATATATATATATATATGTATGTATACG